ATAAATATAAAATCAATAGCTGCAAAAGATAGTAAGTAAAAAAAAAGAAAGACAGACATGAAACAGCCTTTATCACTTAGCAAAGGTCAGCCCTTAAAAGTAAAACTTGTTTTAATATAAACAAATAGTTCTTTATACATTCAAGAACAGAAATGCAACCCGAACTGAAAAATAATCATTAAAAGGAATGATTCTGTAAAGGACAGTGATCTTGATAGACTAATAACTGCCTATGAGTGCAATTCTGCAGTGAAAAATAGGCGAATGTGACCTTAGATATGGAAACAGGATATAAAAATAGTCAGGGTTCTTTATCTCAGTATATATTGTTAGAAGGAATGATTTCAGAATACTGCAGGTGATCCTGTTTTTAAAAACAAAAAAGGCCATAAAACCTGAAAAAAAAAGTGCAGACACTTTAGAAGAGAGCAACAGCTCTCTTGAGGCCTGGAAGTGAGAGAGTTTAGAAGCTCAGTGTGTTTGTCTTATAAATATAAACTGATTGCAGTCAATAAGTAAGTTCTCAGAGAAGAAAAAAAATGTGCCACTTTTGCCTGGTTTTGGGCATTTCTGGGTATCTGATACGAAAACCTTCCATCTTCTATTTGGGCATCTTTTTACCTAGTACGTACAAGAGATTCCACATGCAGGACATCCGTAGCTCAGAGTGCATGGCATGAGTTTGCTGCCTAAAGCCGCAGAGCAGACACTATAGGCCAAATGTGCTGCCAGGCTGGGCAGCACATGTGTCCCGCTCCCAGTGCAGGCACCTGGTGAGCCTGCCCGCCCATCAGGTGTCACCAACATGGGATGTGTTGGAGTGAGCTGGCCTGCAATCTTGCCAACTTGTTTTCTTCTGAGTTTCGGCACTTTTTCCTGTTTTTTTTTTTTCCGCTCTGGTATTTTTCTGCAACTCCCTGTGTTACTGGTATTGTCTTAAGAAATTAATGTCTGTTGATCATTCTCTTTTCCTTGCAAATCTGTGGCTTACCCGCTATAGAGGTAACAGTAAAATAGTCCACAATGAGTGAGAGATCAAGCTGTGTGATCTGATGGCCTATTCTGATGTCAGACTATGATTCCATGAGGTTGGCCAAAATCCTTTATTAATTTAAAACTGTTAGGTCAGACTGTCTGGAGATGTGTAAAGCAAGAAGAGGAGAAAATAAACTGGTGAAATTAATATTTGGGAGGCTTTTTCCTTGGTTGTACAGGCAAAATTGTAGAGTTCATCTTCAGAACAGTATTTTAGAATTAGAATTAAAATTCTACACTGCCAGTCCTTGGAGCTCTGCTCATCATAATTTTAAATAAAACATTTCCCTCAGGACCAGGCAAAACCTCTGAAAAGATTAATTTCAATTGTAAAGTCTAATAATAGCAGTGCAAGGTATGTCCAAGAAAAAGGAAACTGGAGCTCAATATGGCATAATGAGTTATAATAATGTAATATCTATTAAAGTATGTACTCAAAAACAAAGCTAAGCACATTTAAATTCTAAGTATGAATTGTGCAGTTAATTGAAACAATAGATTTACAGCTGTGTGATTAAGTCTGTATATTATTGTTGGGCTAGTGACAGTATCCCTAGCTCAGTTATGTAAGGAAGGACATGCAAATGCTAAATCTAAGTTCTTTCTATCCAAAGAGATTTTAAAAGATCTCTGAGTTCATTTTGAATCCTGACATGACTTCGTAATGGTAGGCCTACACTCTTTCACTCTTGTTCACTCTGCAAGTATTATACTCTATGTCACCTCAGAAAAACTGGCTGCTACAAGTAAAAGCTGGATGTCAGAAGTGTCAATAACATTGCCTAGTTGCAACCAAGTTATTATTAGCTGCAGTAGTTCCAGACACACACTTTGGCTTATGCTGGCAGCTAATGGCTTGTCCATAATGGCCACTTTGCATGAAGTCTCATTTAAGAGGAATGGGGCTTTTAATGGCATACAAAGGAGTATACATAAGTAAAAGTAGGGAGAAGGGTCAGTAAACACAGCTTCCTGGTCCCATTCACTTTTTAGGGAATTTTATCATTTCAAGCATCATATATGTAGTGTCCACCATCTCTTTTTAGTCTCTCTGTATGCCAATTTCCAGCTCTTTTTGAAACTTCCACTATCCTGCAGTCAGAGAAGCATTCATTCCTGTATGTAATTCAGATGTCTACATGCGGGCATTCTTCGTAGTCTGGATTTATTTGGCAGAGTGAATTTTCTGCCAAGCAGCTGCGAGTTGGAAGCTTCTTGGCAGTGCATATTAGTCTGCCATCAGGTCTGTGCTGCTGGGGATAGACTGCTTCTTAATTACCTCATTTAAAGATAGCTTGGGTATCTCTGTCCCACACTGAAGTCTATCATGTAGGTATCTCCAAATCACTGAAGTGTGCAAAGATTTTATTACTTTATCAGTGTCCTCATTTGTATAACTGGCCTTGTTGGTTTTACGGCTTTACTGGGGTTTGTATTTCTTTGCCATAAACCTAACATTTATTTGATCTGCTGGTATTTGCACATTTTTGATAGATAATTATTTTATGTCTTGTAATACAAGTACTGTTGGAAGGACAGTCTTAATTTTTATGATTTTCATTTCTGACTCCAAAGATGATAGCGTTCTAATTCTGGTTAGTAGCTGTTTGGTTGTTTGAATAATCCAATTTGAGGTTCTAACAGATTTGGTGGAGCATATGAGCATACAAGAGGCTTGGGATGTAAAATATATCAAAAATTGTATTTGATGGGGATCATTTGGTAAATGTATACAAGAAATGTTATTAGATCATAGTTCAACTAAATTTAAACTTATTTTACTTTCAGTGATTAATTTACTCTAGTTTTTAATTTTTTTATTGTATAGTTTTAAGCTTTCAAGTAGTACTTGATTGGTTTGGGCAAGGAATTAATTAATTCAGGCTCCACTGAATAAATGAATTAGTTTTCCTTCCTGTATTTTGGGGCTTGTTTGTGGAAGTATTAGTTTTGAATACCTGGATGATGTTTATTAAATCATGGTCCTGCTACCACAAAAATTGTAAAACTGAAAAAACACTTCAAGCCCTGACGCTGTTCGTAGAAAGAATTCATTTCTGCCTGCAGATCCATAAGTAGCAAGATATAACCTCAGATGAAAACTTAAGTATATTTACAAACAGTCCATGTTTGCTGGGTGGAAAGAAGGTGGGGAGGAGCGATGGAGAGAAGAAAACAAACTCCTAATATGAACTGTAATGTTCTCAGAAACCGGCTAAGCATTTGTTCTTCCCTACAAAAAGGAAATACCTAAACTGAGTGGCTTGATTTTTTTGGAGGTGACAGATCCCCAGTACTTTATAACTTGAAGGTTTACACAGGAGACTGCTGCATCACAGGCCAAGTGTGAAGATGCTTTTCTGACTCTTCAACAGAGCACAGTAGCCTGATGCAAATAGAAAATACTGTGACAGCTGTAAATCACAACTTTTTCAGTAAGCAGAAGGCAGCAATAGTCTTAGTGGGGATAGTGATTCCATTTTTTGGAAGTAAAATAGGGCTTGTAAAAAATGTTTAATTTATGTTCAAGTTATTCACAAAGCTTCATAAACTGGTGAAGTTGTGGAAAGCAGAATACTCCCCTTGGTTGAATAACCTTTTTAAAATGTCATTAGTTTCTTCAAATAAATCATTAAACTTTTATTTGGTTAATGTTGGGCTTGTTGCCTGACTGCAGATTTGCTGGTAAGACTATTTCAGTTTCCGGTTAAAAGTCAACATACATTCAGATATAGGAGAACTCTAACTGTCACTAATACAAAAGACCAAGGAAGATGCTAGGTCATGTTTGCTCTAATAAGATGATGAGTACATACACTTTCCATGCCAGTGTGCCTTTTCCATAAGGCAAAAAGCCATGATCTGGCTTCTGCTGCTGCTGCTGTACTGCTCTATGGAAACACATTATAGATAGCTGTACATTGATTATTTGGACAGATGAGAGGTGGAAGATATGCAACAGCATAAAACCCCCAAATGTATGGCTAATGGTGTCATGTTCCAAACCAATAACTTCATTTTTCTTCATCAATTAACCATCCAGAGAACTGGAATTTGTGGTCTGTAAGGAGAAACTGAGCATTCAGAACACGCCAACTTGATGATTAAAGCCAACTGGCCTATACAATACTTGATTTTATGTTTAAATCCTAATTTACATTTCTTAAATTAGAGGGTCAGATGAAACAATTCCATTAGAGGGCAGCAGTACATGTAGGTACAATGTCTTCTGCGCTAAATAGTTAGTTTACAGTCAGCTTCCTTATCACTATGAGCTGTGTTCTGTATAATTTTTGCATATTAGTGAAGATAAAAATGAAGCTAATGCAATTTAAAATATTACAGTAATGGAAAGTCTTATTTTAATATGCAGGTACAATAATGCACATCCTCTCATGTATTTAAAAACCAAAACAAGTGTGACAAGTGACACAAAATATATGTAGTACCTTCCAGCTAAAATATCAACTCTGAAGTTGTTAGTCTTTCTGTGTTCTTTCTGAATTATACAATTTGTATAATGTATAACTTTATTTCTGGGAAGCTTTTTTTTTTTTTTTAAATGTCTTACTTTTCAAACTCTGTTTTTCCTTATTAGCTTTAATGCTTAAGTTCATGTGCAGACTTTCTAGATTTCCAGATTGCAGAAATGGGCATGCTTAGTCAGGCACCTTTTAATGATTAAGCATTGGTAGTGTCTTGTGATTTGGCAGTGATTTCTTTAGGTTTTTCTATGAGTTACGTCTTCTGAGACATTTGATAATGAAATGTAAGCCATGAGAGTCTAAATGTTTAGGTTTTGTTTTTATTAATACTCCCTTTTAATTGCTTGAATAGCTTTAAGCAGATGTTCCTGGCTAATATAGCTGGTTCGATTCATACCACTTTAATACTTTACTATGTTGTATGTGTCTAATTCGAGCAATACCACAAACATACCATTTCTTTTTGCATTTTCAGTTGTGTTACTTGATACTACAGCTGCCCTCGGAGAACTAGGATGGAAAACATTTCCTTTAAATGGGGTAAGTCACTCAATATTTTGTTTTATTGTCTTGATTTTGGCATTCTGACACTCTGGAAGTGAATGGCAAGAGTGTCTACCTGGGTAGATATTGATACAATATAAACTTGTCAGAAAGATTTTAGTTGTTCTCAGGACTGGAGCAGCCTGTGTTGTAAGTAGGACTAACAGACATGAGAGTGATGTGAGGACACATTATTATGCCCTTTTCTTGCTTTTCTGAGTGTTAAGAATCTATCTTACTTTAAATCTGATTCTAATTGTTACACATCATAAAGTGCCATGTTAAAAAGTCCTATACTAGAGATAGTCCTATGTTCTGAAAACATTTTTTGTGAAATAAAAGGAAAAATATGTTTCAATTTTATAACTTGAGAAAAAATTTCAATGATTTAAGAGAGGTATGGACTTCAGCATGTGGTAAAATGGTATCAGGTTAGCTAAATCAGAAAACTTTAATGTTATTTAACCAGTTTAAACATTTAGAGAAAATATTTAACTAATGCTTTTTTTCCTGCACTGATCATTCTAGATTAAAGTTCACTATTGCAGTTTAATGTCTTATATGGGTGCACTGTATTGTTAGTACAGATTGCCTGGAGGCACCTGACATTGCATACAGGGGCCCAGAGCTTTAGAGGTGTCTGGTATATTTGGAGATGGTGTGCCCAAGTGAGCGGAGGGAACAGGAGCATTTTGCTTTTTGAAATTCAACCATCAGTGCTTTGCCAGTGACTATAGTTCCAAAACCTGCCTTCTTTTTCCACCCGGCAGGTAACAGAGTATCAGAGGCATTTGTAGTTTCGCTTTTTAATTAAGATACAGTATAGAGGAGCATTTACACCGTTTTGTCAGCTTCTAGTTCTGATGTCACTGTAGATATTGTATATCACTTGTTTTTATATTAACTGGCATTATCTCTTAATTCTCGTGTATGAGGCATATAATTATTTGCTTCTTTGAAATGAGCTCAGAAAATACTGGTTTTCCGAGTGAAAAATCTTGGGGTTTTTTTAGTTATTTTATTTCTTGTAATCCATTCCAGAAGAAAGTAGAAACTGTCTCTCCTCAGCACTATTTTTATAAAATGCCTTCTGTGTCTCTGCCCTCAGGGCTTTCAAGCAACGTGACATTTCTTAATCTCAGACTATTTTCAACTTTATGAATTACTCTTTTTCAGGGTTTTACAATTCTTTGTATTCCTAGACATAATTTCAGTCTGTTACAGATGCTTCTGTGGTTTACATTTTGTATGCGGTCTCATGCAATCTTGAGTTATAATTCTGAAAGTTTTATTTCCTTCAAAAATCCTGAACAAAGCAAATACTGTCATACAATATGATGAGAAAATACAGCAAGGAATTTCTGCTTTAGCAAAAAGCAAATACTGTCATATACCGTGATGAGAAAATATGGTGAGGAATTTTTTGCTCTAACTTTGTGATGAGCTTCATTGAATTGCACAGGGAGACTGGCTTTTGGAAAGCACATAAGATATAACTTCAGTTATTCTCTAAGTTCTGAGAAGCTTTATTAACCCAACAACAATAATCACAATATACAAGCACAAATTAACCTGCACTCAAACTTGATTTAACACACAGCTATTACAACATAGCTGTTTTGGTTGGTCATAGATACCCATAGTAGCATATTGAGGTTTTCCAGACTTTAGAACCTTTGCTGTGTTTTAAGAACTGGTGGCACTTACTACAATGCAGGGAGTTTACATTTGAGTCAGTACTTGGGATTCAATTATTAGAGAATTTCCCAAATAAGTACAATTTGTTTGTTGGGTGGGTTTTTTTGTTTTTGTTTTTGTTTTGTTTTGTTTTTTTTTAAACTAGCTAGAATAAATATGTGGGAGAAAAGTGGTTTGTAGCATGAGGAAAACATACAGAATAAGGATTCCTGGAACATAAAATAGGCCGAAGAGGCTAGAGTGGAAACTGAGATGAAGTGGGTACGTTGAGTATGGAGAGGTAGTTAAGAGAAGTGTGCATGCATTGTTAACTCAGGAAGAAAATATGTCTGATGATGAGTTAATCTAAGGTGCATATGCATTAAAGATTCATGTGCACTGCAACAAATAAGTTTTCGAATAAACTTTTTGGGAAATTGTACAGGTGAGAATCCATGATTTGGAGAAGCACAATCCATATAAGATACTGGTCACATACAATAGAAGGTGACTGGATATGCAGACAAACAAGGTTCTCCATTTCTCACAGTGGAATGAAGGAAAATGCGTTAGGTCGACATTCCAGGAAAGGCTGCTGTGAGCAGTAGGACCTAGTGGCAGTGCTGCACCTCTGAAATAGTGCAGAAAGAAGGAATAAACAGAAAACCCCAAGTAAATAGTGGAGACAAATGACTTATATGAAATTAGAGTTATTTATCTCACTTACTGACAGTTATGTAGAACTGCTGATTAAAATAAATGAAATAAATGTTAGCTGATTTTTCAGTCAGTGTTATTCTGACAGACTTCATTAAAATATACCAAATGTACAATTGTGTTTAGGTATTTGAACATACTGAAAAATTGCATAGAGCTATTAAAATATGAAAAGTTGCATAACTTTGGCTTATAAAATACTAAAGATACTGAAGTTGAAAACTAAACTGTAATGTATTTCTAAACTGTTTTTATTTAAGTTATTCTGGGATCCTGTACCTTTTACAAAGGTAAAACGGAACTTGAATTTACAAGTACTCATGTACTTAAGAGAATATGACATTTGTATGCTTCTTCATGTCACTTTTGTATGCAGTCTCTGCAACAAAAGGCCAATGTTTGTGTTAATTATGACTTGATTCTTACTAAAATGTAAGGCAAAATAGTGCTTTTCGGATTGGCTAATAACTCCTATTATACTTACTGATTTAGTAAAGAACAGTAAAACTGGTGTCTTTGTAAATCTTGCACAAACTTCAGAGGTGTTATATTATGTCCAAAGTGCTATCTAATCTGAGTTACTTATATATCCTAATATAATGCACAGTATGGCATAATTATTGGTGTAATTGAGAATATCACTGCAGAAATAAGAACACATTTGTCCCCTGATGGGCACATCAGCATTTTCCCTTTTCCTGGAGCGGAATGACAGGTTTTGGTTTGTTTGTGCTTTTGATAGGGATTTTTGCTCAGGTACTGCATAAATCTTACATGTTACTTTAATCAAACTTTTTTTTTCCTCCCAAATAAATGCGTGTGTGGTGTTTACATGTGTAAGAAAAATGTCTTTGACATATAGTTACTGAACATTTTTGAGGTTAGGAGGGTGGGGTGATAGTTTTTCCTGAGACTGTGACATTAACAGAAGTCATTAATTTACTGTCATAGTCAGTCACAAAGCATGTTTCTATTGAGTATGCCTCAGAGATTTTCAACTAACAGGCTAGGGTGAAATAGGAGAAAGATTCAGGAGGTATTCTTTTGGAATTTGCACAACCTTAACCTTTACTTCACAGACTTTTTGTTTATAACAGATTCATAATGTAATGTTTGCAAGCTTTCAGCAGTTTTGGTAACCTCTAGCGGTACCTACCCAAGCAAGTAAATATACAACACAGTAGTTTTGTATGTGGCATGTGTATGCAATCCCATCATTTAGCTGCAGATGAGTCATGCACAACTGTGTCATCCATTCCTTTATAATATAATATATGATTTTATTTTTTCATTTTCTTCCCAATTATTTGTGCAACCTTCCTGAAGTGTGAGAATACAATAGTTTTTCCTGCAAATTTGTTTTCTTTATTTGCTTGTCAGATTTCTTCCTTGTATTTTGAACAGATGATAAATTAAGTGCTTAGAGCTACAAAAATGCAGCACAAAACATTAATATCTTTGAGGTCAATAGAATCAGCTTTTGTTGGTTGAGTTCCAATTTAGCTTCTCAGTGATAGGCTGTCTAAAATTTCTACTTTAATAATGAACACATCTGATACTTCCTCTGTTCTTTGGGCTATAGTTCAAAATGACCGATTGATTTATGAAAAAGCATCTGCTATGGAATGAAAGTAGATCATCCCTCCATAACCTTGAAAAGGCAAAATAAGGTTTTTTTGGATTGGTACAAAAAATGGCAAGGAACTCCTTCACAGGTTTCAAAAGAGGATGTGAATGTGAGCTGTGGGCAAGCCAGTCGGGTTTGTGTGAACTGTTATCCAGGGTTCCAGCTGAAGTCTTCACTGACCTTGGGGACAGGATTATTTTTCTGAGGTTTTCTCACTATAGCCTGTGGTGCTGTGACTGTTAGAAGGGCAGTTTTTTCCTAGGGGATTAAACACTGTTTAAGTGGTTAATAAAGTTTTGAAAATTAGGAAGGAAAGGAAAAAAACCCTAAAGCCTAACTGAATTGTAGTGGTTCCCAACCTTCACTTACCTATTAGCGGTAATACTAATGAAATAATGTGCCTTCGGCAACTCCAGTTGTTGTTTTTTTCCTTCTGGCCTCACTGTAACTTCAAAAAAATTATTATTTATTACCCATTGCATTAAGCAATGTAACACAATTTTGTGAGCAAAATTTGCTTATGAGCTATTGTTTGGAGGCTGTTGTCATAAGGACCTGTCTATTCCTGATAAACTTCTATAAGTACCCCTGCTTAACTCTAAGAATGCCGTATTTTGCATGAGCTGAATCTACTTTGCAACTGTTAATTTGGAATAAAGTGTTCTTATTTGAAGAAGAAAATTATTAATGAAAAAAACATTCTGCTTCTAACATTAATCTAAATTTTAACTTCTGTGTAGCCACTTCATAAACTCCCAAAAAAGTTGAAATTATCATAAGAGGAGGGCAAGGTGACTCATAACAGAAAGCTAAAAGAAATTGTTCACGTGGAAGGGGCTTGTACCAGCTTTCTTGACTTGTCATAGTAGGCAAAATGTATAGCCTCAGCCATAAAGAGCCTACTAGAAGTCCTTTAAATTATTTGACAGCTGTGTGTGATGAAACTATATTAATCCCAGTTCCTGCAGTTATTTGA